TTCCTCCTCCTTTTCAATAAAATCCGCTTTTCCGATCCCCAAGCAAGTCCTGGTGAGGAACGGCTTCACACGCTGAGTACTACTCCGTTAGCTCTCAGGTGCTGACTGGGGCCATAACGGACTCTGACTCGTGTCAGGATCCAGCGCAGACAGAGGACCGCTGGGCGCGGGCAGAAGGCAGATCTGGATGTGGTCGGTTCTTGTCTACTTGGCTTCTCGGCCACTCTGTGGTCTTCAGCTCATGGTGCTGAAGCGCCGGGTGAGTGACACCTCACTAAAGTAGATGTTCAGATGACATACAAGGCGCATGTGCGCCCGACAGCTACACCGCAGGCCTCGTGATCCTTACACCCACGCCCAAAGCTCAGAGATGAAAGTTTTCAAGCAAGTGAGATTATAGACTACAAATGAATAGAATCCCCTACCAGTTCTGCAGAAGGGTTTCAATCAGGCAGACTTTCCTATCTTGCATCAGTGAAAGTATCACTGACTGAACTCGGCTTTTAATGAGAGCTGATCTGTGGTCGTGAGCGGGGGAGGAATGCATTGAGTCTGGCAGTGTGTGGCAGCTCTGTCTCCTCCTGGGAAGGAAGGGGTGGCAATGGGAGAGATCCACAGAGAAAACGGGTGGCCACGGCCACACGCCGCAGCTCACGTGGACACGGCGAAGTCTACCTGGGAAGCCCTTGCTGTCCCAGGAAGGTGGGAGCCCATGGTTTTTCCAGCCAAGCGTCCACTTACACAAGTGTCCATTTGTGCCCTGGTACTTTAAAACACCATGTGGCACACCCATACAAAGAATCGCTGGGAACCGTATTAAAAGAACCAACTTTTCTCCCTTCTTGAGTTTCCCTCTGGAAATTGCTTCATTAATTGACAGTTTCAGGTTGCTCCTTAATGAAGACCACAGAATAAACAAAAGATGGAGGATACAAGTAAAACGGAAAATTGAGTTTGAACTGTTAGTACGATTTCATGGCTCTGTGTTGTTCTGTTGACTGTGTGCCTTCCAGAGCCATGGTGGCCGTCCGTGTTTCATTCATACTGTCAGCTTGGTGTCATCTGCCTCCCATCTGTGTCAGGAGAGAGTTACGGCTTGTGTATCTCGGGTTCCCTTCGAGGGTGAGGTGTGCTTCTTTGCAGCTATGTCACAGGTGTGCTGTGCAGACCTCTCTTCCTGGTAGGTGGCTGAGTGTTCCTTCTTCGTCAGCCTGTGTGTGCCCTTGGCTTACCTGTGGATGGATGCTTCAGCCAGCAGTGTGTTTTGCAGTTGAGCTGTGTTGTTTAGCGCGTTAATCTGCCATTGCAAATCATCTTCCTGCACCTCCACGACGCTTCCCTGAGTCTCGCACCCCTTTCCGTGCATTCCGCTCTGTGCTCCATGAGGAGCCCAGGTGTGAACACCAAAGCGAACCCACTGGTCTTGTCTAGGAGGGGCCTGTTTAGGGAGGTCCTGAGACCTCAGTGGCTCAGTGCCTCTGCTTCCTGGGTGCTCTTTAGGGGGCGATGGGTGTCCCCACAGACATGGCACCAGCTGCACAGCTATGTCCTACGCCAAGATCAGCTTCCTTCTCTCTCACTGTGATTCTGTCTCTGGCTCCTTATCCTTTTATCTGACTCACCCTCCCTCCACAGAGCTCCTTTACCTAGGACTTCTCATCCTGACCTGGCCAAGCGTCTCCCGGTCCTGGTCTCAACCTAGAGACAAGAGCCAGCTCAGGCAGTCTTCCTGTACATGTGTCTCCACGTGACCACATCACCTTCTTTCTCCCTTCTCCCCTTCCCTCCTGCCCATCCTGCTTCCTTTCTCCACCTCCGTGAGGCTCTAAAATCCTCCCGTGGGCAGACAGGTGAGAGAGGGGCCTCCACACTTGTCCTCTGTCCTGCCCACGTACAGTTTGCTCTGCAGCTGCACCAGGTCACCCACCTGGTGTCACCGGGTCACCGTTCCTGACAAGATCAGGTGAACACTCTGGTGATGGAAGCAGAGGAGGTCAGCGTTTTATTCACAGCAAGGCACTAGTGAACGATGAAACCCAAATCCAGCTTTGGAGCAGATCGAGGGACCTTGAAAACTTGGGCAGTTTCTTCTGTGGCGTGTAAACATCAGAGGGCTGCAGCTGCCTGCCAAGCCCCTTCCCCAGCAGCCTGCAGGGCGTGGGTGCAAGGACTGGTGAGGCCGGTGGGGAGGCGCTGTCCCCATCTGGGAAGTGTGAGACTGAGACTCCTCTGCAGTCCATGATGCTAAGAGATGGACAGGTGGACATTCTTCCCAGGGTGACTCACAGCAGGTCTGGGCTCCTGTCCTCCCTCTGCGACTGTCTGAGGTGGAATGTTTGGGCAGAGTGTCTGGAAACTGCAGTTTGAGCAGCCCTCTCTGTGGGTTCCATCTGGTTATGAATGTTTAGCTGAAAGAACAGTCACAGGAAGTAGACCCTGGTCACAGGAAGTGGACTTGGGGGAGCTAGAAGCACAGAGCCCAAGGGCAGACAAGAGCACCCCCGGGGCAGAGGGTTGGCAAGTGGAGCCAAGTCATGAGGCAGGCAGGACAGACTGGGACACAGCCCGAGCTTCTGTGTGCAGGCTCAGGGGGTTGGAGTTGACTCCATTTGGCGGGCTTCGGCAGTTGAGGTGAAAAGGTAGGGGGCCAGGTCAGAGCAGAGCTGCTCCTCAGGCCACCTGGCCCTCGTGGGTTCACTTTTTTGGCTCCAACAGGGTTGCTGCAGGACAGCTGGAAGGTTTGTTTGGGTGTTACCGTATTTATTGCTAAGTCTATGTATTCCACAGTGGTGCTGCTTCCTGAGGCCTCCTGCACCTTGACTTACTGTGCTTATTTTCGGAAAGAGTAAAGTAAACCATTGTGCAAAAGCTCTTCCATTTGGGGACTGTAGGCTGAGCTTTAATGGCTTCGTTATTCCAAACAAAGTGTTTAATTCATCGCCTTATGTGGTGTGTTTCTTGTGGGAATTTCCGTGAAGCTTCTGTACTCTGTAAAGCTCACAGGACATAACTGTTCTTGTTATCTAGTATGCTCAGCCCTTTGTTTAATGTGGTGAACAAGTTGGTCCTTTTTATAAAGAAACGCCTATACTTTGACCTTTGCTAGCTATCTTTTTATGTATGCCCTCCGTGCCAAATGAACATGGGCCACTTCTAGGTAAGGGAATTGGGAGGAAATGCAAGTAGCACATCAAGAATGAAGCCTGCTCCTAAAGTAATATGCATTCTTAAACTATTTCAGTGTTGAATTAAAATATAGTCAAGACCATAGGTCTTAAAGGGACTTGTTTTTCTCAAGAGAGTTTTTTTAAAAGACTTTCTACTCTGGAGAATACAATGATCTCTTTAATTTGGTAATATCAAGCATGCTACTCCCTTGTTGGAAATCCATTAAGTTTCAGTCTGGCTTAATGTTATTGGGGGTTTAACACATACCCATGGAAAAGAAAATGACTGATTGCCATTAGGGAGATTAACTCTTAAGACTGTACCCTCATAAGCACTAAGCTCTGAAGAAAGTTTGTAAGCAGAGGTGAAAAAGTGGGTGCATAGTACAAGGTGGGTTTCACTAGTGTTATTTCTTAGCAGGTCATTTTTAATTTTAACTGAAAATAAAGGCAAGTGTATCCTGCTAACATGCCTAGCAGGATACTGGTATTTTTATCTTTGAAAAACAATTCTTCAGTGGGATGGATGAGTAGGAAAGGAACGCCAAGATGTGTGATAGAGTAAACACAGAAGGAGGTTACTTGCACAGCCCAAGTGTGTGCATATCAGTGCTTGCTGCACCCTTGAACTTGCATCATACTAAAGATTACTACATCATTTTAAAGAAAGTCAGTCCAGTAAAATATGAGATGAGATGCCAGTAATAACATGACACCATTCCTTATCAGTGAAAATGCAAGCCATTCTATACTGTAAAATAAGTGTTTCTTAAACTAAGTAAATCTGGGCTTTAGCTAAATTCCTTTCAGATTTATGCATATTTTTTGAGAAAACATTTTACTCTTTTCTCTAGATTATGTGTTCAAACCCAGTTATTTTGATGTGTGTCTGTTATTTAAGGCTAACCTGAAGTCTTCACCTCGTATTGTACATTAGTCAATGAGCTTATTCAGTTTTAAGGTTCTCTCTGGTGTATTTTTAAGTCACTTTATACCTTGCGTCTCAGTCCCCACAACGGAGAAACAATCTGTGCTACTGTATGTCAGGTCATCGCCGTTCTGACCATTACTTCATTTGCAATAAAACTGCCAAGTGTGCAAGTGTGCTTCACACATGCTCATTTCCTAAGTGTTAATAAGTGCCATTGTGGCCTTTGTGTGCCTTTGTGCAGAGCACAGCAGGCCCCCCACGAGGTGGAGCTGTGTGGCGTCTGAGGGGGGCCCCTCCGCCGTACCTCTGGGCTCCTTCTATGTGCAGGTCCATGCCTGGTTCTGCCTTGTTAATTTTAGTAACATACTCCAGATTAAAAGGTGAATGTTACCAACCACTGCTATGATTTAATCGATGGAACTCCCTACCCAGTCCTGGAGTAGTGTGCATGGGTGGAGCTTGGACACTAGGGGTTCTCGGCTGTCTGAACCTCGACCCAGCCTGAGGTCCTCAGGCACTGGGGGTACAAACTCCTGCAAGTCAATGAGGACCCAGCGGTAAGGTGTGCTCAACAGGACGGGTGAATGAGGCTGCTTCTATGTCAGCCTAAGCGGCTGACCAGCCAGCGTGTGGTCAGTTGCTAGTCAGATGTGTGTGGAGGGACCTTCCAGAGGAGGTTGGCATTGGGCTGGGTGGACTGAGACAGACAGGTGGCCTCCCTGATGGGCGTGGGCCCTGCCCTATCTGCAGAACAAAAGCCTGGCCCACTCAAAGTGGGAGGGAGACTTATTCTGCCTGACCTGAGCTGGGATGTCTTCGTGGGGGATTTTGTTTGGTTGGTTTGGTCTTCTTGTTTGGATCTGAACTGAGACACCTGATCTTTCTGGTTCTTGAACCTGCAGGCATTCAGACTCCAACTGTATATTAGCTGTCTTCGTTCACACACCGGCAGGCTGGAGGGACACCATCTGCCCCTGGGTCCCGGGCCTTGAAATGTACGTTGGAACTTTGCTGCCAGCTCCGAAGGTCTTCGGTGGACAACTGCAGATCGTCTTGGAATTCTCCTCTGTCTCCACAATTATGTGAGCCAATTTATTGTAGATCTCTCTATTTCCTTTCCCTCCTCCCTTCCCCTTCCCCTCTCCCTGCCCCCCTGTTTTCTACATAACTCCACATATTTGGAAATAGAAATGATGATTATATTTCTGTTATATACTCTTACGGAGTCACTGAAACAAATACAGTGAAAAGTCACTGTAACACCTTGGGTCCTGTTAGTCATACAGATTAAAATATCACTAGGATGGAAATTACTTGCAGTTAGTTACTTCAGTCTCAGAATTAAAAGCCCTGTTTTCTAATAATTGCCATATTTGAATATGTCACAGTGTCCTAATTCTGAGACTGCTAGGGTTTGACTTGTATTGGTTTCTATTTTTAACTTGGCTCCATATATATCAGGATCATAGACATATAAAGATACCACTGGTGTATAACCTTACCAATTTTCTGCTATTACTGAACCATTACTCATTATGCTGAAAGTACCGCACACTCTGTTAGTAACGTTGTGTCGTTGTTTGCCAGGCATAACCAACACCTCTTAGTTCACTTTTACTGTGGGATTATGATTAACATTTTATGCAGTTATCTAGCCTGAGAACATCTTTATCCAACTTGCCCTCCATAAACCAGATGCAGAGTTATATCCAAAGTACAAAGAATTCCTTTGGGGGCAAGAACTAGGATGTATTTTGAGTATCAAATCATTTAATTTGTGACCCCAGATCAAATTCAGATGTGGACAGTGCTATCCTTTTCTTTTGCTTGTTGTTGACAGTGATCCTTTCACTTGTGACTTTGGCTTAATGAGTAAAATTAATGCTTAATGAGTGAAAGATAATTCAGTCTCGATCTGTTTACTCATTAATTAAAATTTGTCTAACAGGTAGTTGAAATAGTCAAAATCCTAAGATCAAAGAGCACTTATTCTATAAAAACTACAGTCCTAAAATAATTATAGGTGTGGGATAAAACCAAGAGGGGGTTAGAATAAATGACAAGTGACAATAAAGGGAAAGTAAAGCATCATAAAGTGGTTATGACATAAGTGATGATGAAATCAGAAAATCCAAAATATAATCAAAGCAATAAAATCTAAAAATAGTCCTCTCTTTGATGTTTCCAGCCATAGAAACTCTAACATAACAAGCCTTGATTTTATGTAGGAAGTGAAGAAAACATCACGTGGCATACAGTACATTTGTAAGATGTACCGCTTGCAAATAAGCGTTGTGAATTTTTTCATCATTTTCACCAAATTTATTTTTTAAAACCGTGCATTCTTCCTATAGACACTCCAATATTTGAGAACTTATAAGAATACAAAAATTTCTTATTGGAAAAATTTGATTAAAAAGCTTAAGGTTCTCTAGAATCTTAAAATCCATATGATGGATTGACTAGGAAACAGTCTTGCAGAAAGCGCTACTGGTGTAAGATGCTTTGAGGATATAGAATAAATACTAAGCAAATAAACTATAATGAACCAAAATTACGTACCTGTGTGATGACCATACACACACACAACACTCACATATCACACTCACCACATATACCGGTTATGAAATTCAGTTCCACCCAATATAGAACTATGTCAGTATCTTATTAACTTCTCAGGTTAAGAATTATACATAGTACTTTTTGGAGCTGATTTTGAATAATCCTTTACTATTTATTGAGAACACCATACTGTTTTGATTGCTCCATTTTGTTTTGAACATGGGATTAGGAGGCTTTCTACATTTATTTATACATTTATAAACTTGTAGAAGTTTACCTGGTTTATATTGAAGATTTCCAAAGTGGACCAATAGAGGGAGGAGAGAAGGTTAATTATGCACAAGGAAAAGAGGAAATGAGAGAATAAGCAATTATCTTGAGCAACGCTTTATTTTCTCCATTCAGTTTTACATTTGGTTTCTGCAGCAGTCTAGTCACTTAGCTTTAGTTGCCTTTCAGTCTCAGCAATGCCTGAAAACCTCTCTGCGGTGTGCCTCTGTGTGTGTGCGTGTAAACTTGCTTTGGTTTGGTAAAAATGTCATTTAAATATTTTGCTTTCATTTGTAGAAAGTTGAAGGTGATATTAAGCTTATAAATATGATAACTGGGCTAAAAAGTTTCAAAAGTTTGGAGACATTGTTTTCTGAGGTTCTGTTTTGTTTTTCTCACGTTTACACTGAAAGGAATTCATAGGAAACAAAACAACCCCATTCACCACAGAACGAAGTCAAGGCAGAGAACCGGGCTTAGGTGCTGAGGGACAATAGGGACATTGTAGCACGCTTTACCTACCCGCTGGACTCACACATAAACTTGGAAAACCGTAACATAGAAAAGCTCCAGTGACCATAAAACTCTGGCCATAAAACTCTAGCAAAAGCTGGAAAATGTGGAAGACTAAAGAAGTTATGAAAATGAACACAAAGTTTGAAGCGACAAATTTGATATACAAACGCGATACTTATATATCACCATATACAAATTCTCCTTCAGGTTTGATTTGGTCCATGATCACAGAGAGGCTTTTTTGCTCTTTCTGGAAAAATAAATAGAAAAATTTTTCCGAGATCTCTCAGTATTTTTTCACAGTAAAACAATATTGATCGTTCAACACCTGTGGCAAGACAATTTAATAAATATTTATGTCCTGAAAACTTTGAGAAAAGAATGAGGCTGATACTTGAATTTATTTCGAACTCCTCACTAGTTGCTAATGTGGAGTGTGTGACTGCTGTGTGACTGGACGGGCCCTGGGCGGCTCCTGACCCAGGCCCCGGGCGCTCAAGGAGGACATCCTTGGCGTCTTGCACCTGGGCTCAGGGTCACACAGCTGCGATGTGCAGGAAGGCGTGTGGCCCTCACCAGCTCACCACTGTGAGGCTCTGGCCAGCATGGCCCCTGCAGAGTCTGCGCCAACCGGGCCGTGCGCTCTGTGGGGTGTTCAGTACCAGGGCGCCTGCAGCTCACTCGTCACTGATGGCGGGTCCCTGGCGCGGGATTCTGGGATCACGGATTTACTCTAGCAGAGGCCCGGTGCATGACGGCCCCCGATGCTTCTGGCCGAGAAGTTAAAATTGGGGGCCAGTGCATGTGTCCAGCAGCACTGGACAATGACTGTGAAAGCTTGAAATCACAGCCTTTAATTTAGTTCAGTGGGTTTCGTTTGCTCAAATCCACTTACTGCAAAACTCCATGAAAATTCCCGGTGTAACAGCCTGTGGCCTGGGAGATTCACATTAGCCTTGTCAGTGATGGCTCAGGACCAGTAGCACTTGCACTGATCAAGGAAATGATATCATCAGTGCATACTGGGACACTCTTGGTGTCCATGGAGGAGTTGAAGGTGTGCACCCTTTTGCTCAGAGCTGCTACTCACTCACACGTCCCCCGAGGTGTACCTTCAGCCCCAGGGAGGGCTCTGTGTCCTCAGATGCGGGACTAATCTGTGTGTCTCACTGCTGGTGGCTTATACCCCAGTGGTACACACATGACTATGCCCGACGGGACTGTTGGGGCCACACGCTGGGACAGTTGTGTTTGTGTGAGCAGAACTTCAGAGCTGCCCAGTTAACCACACAGATACTGTTTCCTTCTAAAGACAAGTATCTCAAAGAAATGTGTATTTGCCCTCAACTAAGGGCCTTAGTAGATTTTATGTAGATAACTAGAAGAACTCAACTATGAGGATCTTTTCTTTTTCCTCTCGCTATATAGTTCAGGCTGACCTCAAACTCCTGGCAATCTTCCTGCCTCAGCGTCCCAAGTGCTAGGATTATAGGCACATGCTGCGTTCCTTGCCAAGAATCTTTAAACTAGATAATGTTACCTGTTGTCTGCTCAGTAAACTGTGAGCAACAGTAGAGCCAGAATAGAAAACCAGCTCAGGACAGAAAACAGGCGTGAGCTTTGAGAGGGCGTGGTCAAGGACATCGGTCTGCTTAAGTGCGGCAGGAACTTCCATACCAGCTCAGACAAGGCTGAGTAACGTGAGTCCTCAGTGTTGGTGCTTGGCAGTGGTTCCTGGCATTGCTGTGATTTCAAATTCAAATTCTAGCGTTCAGTTTTTCCCACCTGTTCGTTCTTAATCCAGATTTTCTGCGCGCTCCGTGGCTGATGTCGTCCCCACAGCTCCACACAGGCTGAGCCATGAGGTTGGGTTTGGTAACAAGCTGGCTGACTTCGGTAGCAGGGATGCTTTGTTCAGTTCTTACCCCTTGATTGAAGTAATCTCCCATGTGCTGTGTAGGCGGCAACTGAGGGAGTGGCCCAGAGACTGTGGGGGTTGGCAGGGAGCTGGTGACACCTGGGGGCACCATTTGCAGCTTGGGTGTGTGATGCCGACCCGGAGGACCAGGGCTGCTTCTGCTTGTTCCAGACACAACAGCACCAAGCAGAGTCACCTGATACCTGGGTGGGTGCAGTGCCATCCAGAACACAGGAACACAGAGAAAAAATGGAAAGCTAAAAGGAGAAAAATAATACTTTTTTCTTTTTAAGAGATCTTAGTGTGTATGTGTTTCCAGATTTTGCTTGCTGGGGTGGCATGGAGCAGTGCTGTCCTCCTTCCCCGCCCCCATTCTCCATCCCCTTCCCCAGCAGCACTTCCCCGAGCTGACCCCGAGCTGTCCCCTGAGCTGTCCCCGAGCTGTCCCCGAGCTGTCCCCAAGCTGTCCCCGAGCTGTCTCCGAGCTGTCCCGAGCTGTCCCCTGACCTGTTCCCGAGCTGTCCACCGAGCATGCTCAGGTCAGTGTGCGTCGCACCTCGGCCTGCTTGCTGAACTCTGTCTTTCCACCCTGGAGAACCCTGGGGGACCTCCCCCTTCATTCCTCCTCTCACACCTATTCTCGAGCAGCCTGGCTGTTGCCTGCCTGGGCTCCACTACTATCTGTGATCTCTGCAACTGGGACTTCTTTTTTCTTTCAAAAATCTGACTCATGCCTTTTCATCAGTGCAATCGCATACTATCTGGAATGCCAGACTGTTAACTAAATGATTTTAAAATATAATGCATGATGTTATG